AGAGAGAGAGAGAGAGAGAGAGAGAGAGAGAGAGAGAGAGTTTTTTCGTTTGTTGATACACACGGTGTACGCGCGAGAGAGAGAAAGAGACTGAATGACAAAATTAAATATGGGTCAAATTGAGGCCGCGATCTATTTTGCAGTTGGAATGATTTTTTTTTAATTATTGGCCTAGATATGGCTGAGTGGCAAAAATGGAACATGTGCCGAATCGGTGCGACGATTATTTTGCAGTATAAATAATTTTTTTTAAATGTTCTACTATTATTTTTGGAAAGAACACGACCTCATCCATGGATTTTCAAAATTTCATATTTTTGTGCATGTTCGTTCGAGCACAGAAAATCGTCAAAGTTGCCTCTTGCAAAACGCCTATTTCGTTGTGCCTGACCTCCCTGTTTTCAAAAGACGGGGCTCAATGCCTGGGCCTAAGGGCCCTTTTGTAGTTCACATGCCCTCACTTCTTTTTGGGGTCCGCTTCTACCCGGGGTCCGGTTCAACGCCCCCCACTTATTTTTGGGGTCCACTTCCACCCGAGGACCGGTCCTTCCTTTTTCCAAAAGTTCCGGTTCTAGCAGAGCTAGCTGTAGGTAGTCCGCAGTTTTGCCAAGGACCGGTCCCCCAATTTTTTTTGCCCCCTAAGAACCCACTTTGCGTCCTGGTCGCCCGCCGCAAAAAATGTGACACCTTGAGACAGACTCGGAAGCCCACTATACCGCAGACTAAGGGCTGCGAATACTGGTTCAAACATACGCAAATGAATACTATAGGTCTAGAAAAACGACAGCTACTCGGTCATACTATAGGTCTAAAAAGTGACAACTACTCATAAGTACCCAATACCTCGGACAAGTAGTACCCTGGTTCGAGTCTGGCACAAAAGTTTAAAGCTTCGAAGTGGCCCATGGTGTGCTCCTAGCAAAATCCCATCCCGGTACCAAGGGTCTCGTCGTGACTCCCATTCTAACGAGAGCTGTTCGAAACCCGAATCAAGCAAACAAGCGGAACAAGTCGTACGAACTAGCTCTACAAAACATGATAAAAGAAAAATATCAAAGCCCATGCTCCGGACAAAACAATTACTGGTACCTCTGTGACTATTCTGCCCATGTAGCAAAGCCAGAAAAAAATAATGAAAAAAACAAACTATAAAACTTGATGTAGCACAACTCCATGCTCGGGAAAAAAACAATTAGCGGACGCCCTGTGACTATCCTGCCACCGTGGAACAACTCTCTGGATAGACCTAAACTATTGAGAAACTCATACTCATTAAAGGCATATAGAAGGCATGCAAGGGCCGACCTGGAAGGTTTGTCCATGGGGATACCAATCTTCTGTCTCAAAGTCACTCCCGTTGCCGAAACATAGGTACAAGATAAGTAAAACCCAACAAAACTGAGCAGCTTGTTGAACTTCAGTCGTCCCCATCCTTCAGGAACAATTTTCCTTCTAAAGAGAACAACACCTTTCCCTTTCTTTTTGTACACGACATCAGAGAAAACTTTTTCTTCATGCATCGCTACTACCCAGTCGACTGCCCTAACGATAAAAGAGTGTGGAAGAGCAGAGAACATCTCCTTAACGTCAAAACTTGTCACAATTACCTCTCCTTCTTTGCCGATAGCCTCATTAATCTCCTCAATCCTTGTCTTAAGGTCTTTCGTAGCTCTTAGGTTAAAGTGTGGCGAAGATGGAATGGACCAGAGAAGACAGTTAACTGCCTTAGAAACAACTCGACAGACCCTAGTAGTAGGATTTGAATGGGAGGGACAAATAGGACGCCAAAGACAAATATATTTATGTTTTGGAATACAATAGGTCTTTCATAAAGTACCTTTACCATTAAATTTCGCTATAGTTTTGAAATTCTCCTTCTCATACCACTGCACCATCCCCTTAATGACCGCTTCCTCCGTCTTATCTTGTGCTTCGAAACCCTTACTATTCAAAAAAAACTTATGCAATTTTAATTCGTAAAATGATGGATAACATACCAGCATATCACCAATGTTATGGTCTATAGAACATAACACGTATTTGTCAAACTTTTTTTTCCACACCAACACTTGCCTTCGGTTAAACTCTGGTCTCTCTTCATCTAATCTAGCGTTAATACAGTTCTTGAGATTGGCTTCGAAAATTAAAAAGAGCTTCGTATCATATTGGACTTCCTTTAAGCAACTCAAAATTGACTTCTTGACTTTTTGCAAATCGGACTTAAGACCTGGAGATATAAT